TGTTGTTCAGAGGACATGTTTGTGTGTGGGAGCCACTCTGTGGGTGGTTCTAAATCAAGTGGTCACCCAGAGCCGGGACTGTGACCCTGACTGTTCATGATTCATTTAACCTCTCATCTGGGCTTTCTTTTTTAAAAGAAGGAAAACACAACATCTGTAGTTCAAAAATTTGCTTTAAGAGGGCAAAAAGACACAGAAATCATTCGGCACCGCCAGGAAATAAGGGAAAGGGCTAGCGAGTTTGTATCTGTATAGGCCGCTTGTTTGAGAAAGGAAATCCAACTTGGTAAGCATGACCATGGTGACAGACAATGGCTATACTTCCATAAGCCCTTTAAAAATAGTTTCTTTTTTCTCTTCGGCATATAGGACACACATACATATGTGTTATCCTAAAGTCAGTTGTAAAATACAAGGTTTCTTATAAACAGTTGAAAGACCAAAAGGATATGAAGAAACGTCATTCTTAAAGACAAGATATTTGAGGAGTTTTTCATGTGAATTGATTTATTTAAAACAAGGATCCAGGGTGGGAAAATGTTCTAGGAGAGCATGGCACAGATGAAACTTAATACTCACTAGCACCTCACATGAGACAGAAAGACAAAGTAGGCAACATACCACAGAAGGAAAACCAAGCATATGGGAAAGGCACCTGGCAGGAGAGGAGCCGCAGTGCCCCAGATCCTCTAGCAGGGTCACTTGTGTGCACTCAGTTGGGACAAACAGCGTTTGGAATGGAATACAACAGGTTCCAGTCTGAAGCTCAGGCTCCAGTGCAAACAGCCAGCCTCCTTCAAACTCAGGCTGCTGGTCATCTGTCATGTGGCTAGGGACTGAGTATGCTAAGCAGGGACACAAAAAAACTCCCCCCACCCATTTCTTCTCTAGAAGGAACCCCAATTTCAGCAGTGGATTCTGGAAGTTTTTAAGCATTCTAACTTGAAAACACAAAGGAAAAGATGGAAAAACAAACTGAACTTAAAACAATCAGTCAAATGGAAAGGCAGATTCATAAAAATAAAACCCAGTGAACAATTCATTAACCAGTTGGTGAAGTTGACATCTGAATGAAGATAGTCCTACAGCGTCCACGAGACACATGGGCACAGAGCCATTGCTGGCAACCAGGAGCAAACAGCTATCCTGTCCTTCCAGCACACTGTATAGCTACCAGAAACCACAGGCCTCATGCTGAAGTTAGGAGACACCTCCTGTTGGCAAAGGACCCCAAGTCATGGTCAGCCTAATGTATGTTCAGAGCTATGGGAGACAAGACTTACACTCTCCAATCATGATCCCCAAAGCCCCCTCTGTTCCTTCTGTGTGTTCTGTACATTTTGATCTCCACATAGGAAGGTCCCAATGTGTTCTGTTGCCCTCTCAGGTCTAGGCACTCTCTGGAACATCTGAAATTAATGAGGCTCCTTCATTTCTTTCCAACTCCATTGGTGACTTTGGACTTGGAATGCCGGTTCCTTCTTCTGGAAGAATGGCTTTCGTTGTTGCTTGAATGCTTGGGAGGGCTGTCTTCAGAACCTACCCAAAGGAAGTCAACACACCATCACCAGGGGCTTCTGGGCTTTGCAGCTGGCTCCTGGGTTCTGTGGTTCTCCCTTTCTAGCCTGCCCTAGCCTGTCCTCTGGAGGCCGGCTCTTACCCGAGACTTGTTCTCCCTCTAGTGGCCTCATCAATAAATTCAGGCCATGTGAACCTAACAGAGTCAGGCTGTGCCTCATGTGTATAAGGCAAGCTCCCCCTAAGATCTGGGTCCTGAGGAATTTTTATTCTGGCATTGTGTAAAACAGACTGGGCACAGCACAGTCATGAAGACCAGAAGTGAGAATACAATGAAAGCCCAAACATGGGACAATTAAAAGTCCAGTAACATCGGTATTTATCTTATGTTTACAACAGTACAGAGTCCCCAAGCTGTACACACTGAAATGTTAAACAGACTTTGTAAGCTCTCAGTTGGAAAAGATTCTTGACTTCATAAAATTAAAACTATTAGCAGAGAGATCAACATCTTTACAAGCCAGGTACTTGCTGCTCATGATCGACAGCCTGAGGTGACATTTAACACTGGGCGGCCTCTTTCCTCCAAGAGAACCTGTGGCTAGTTCCTATACCAGTGGCTAAGCCTAGCACCCCACCCCACCCCCAGAGTTCTGGTTCAGTTCCATGAGAATATTTCCAAAGGCAGACATTTACTCCCACTGCCTAAAGGCCCAGAGTCTTGTCTTCATTCTAAGTATCATTTGTCACAGTCCAAAATTTTCTGATTTTTTTTTTAAACTATTCTTCATAAGTAGTATCTCTTCCACTCATGAATTCTTTCTACTGCAGAACCAGGAGTGCCCAGGGCTGATATGGAACTGGATAGAGCCAGATAAGGTCAGTCTGGTGAGCCCTTTGCCCACACATGTCAACAATCTACAGGGTGGCAAGGAACTGAGCAGAGTTCTAGGACCAGCTCCCCATAATCATGTCTAAGCATAGTTTGTAAAGAAATTCACATTCCTTCCTTACCTCAGGCCACATCAAGCTCGGTCTCTCAGATTCACAGTTTGCTCCCCTCAGCCACACTTCTTGGTTTTCACAAGAACTGACAATTACTGGCTAGTGGGGGGTTTTTTCTGTAAATGTTTCAAGTGGAGTCTTTTCACTGTCAATGTTTCATAAATTTAAATTTTTCAAATAGCCCAGTCACCCTAGATCATTACAAAATGCTTCCCAGAGAAAGGCCATCTGAGGGTCCCACTCACACTGCTATGCCTCCAGAATAAAATCCATCAAGCTCTTCTGAAAGGCCTTCTCTCTAGGGCACACAGCTCTCTAAGCATGTTCACTCACTGTGAAAGCCAAGAGGGAGAGTGTTCCCATTATGGGGCTTGAGAAAAGCAGAACCCAGTGCGCAGTCTCATCTCACAAAGCAAACTTCTGGCTAGATTCTGTGAGAACTGTGTTTCTTAGTGAGCGACAGGTGGGATGTAATAAGTAGGCTTGAGACTCTTCCATGTCTTCACTGACACTCAGTAGACAAGTATTGACCCCAAATCTCCACAGTAGGTCTGAGGGTACAGAGGACTCAATAAAGCTTTAAACAACGAGCAAGACAAAGATAGTCGTTACCTTTTGAGCCTTTCCCATGATGCCAGGAGATCTCTGGAGTGCCATCTTCACACTCTGAATAGGTCTAGAGAGAGACACAGACTTACTTAAACTTCAGGTTATTCCAAGAGGAATGGCAGGATGAAAAAAAAAGTGTGTGTGGGGGAATTCAGGCTGAGTCTGACAAAGGTTCATCTTGTATTTCTCTGCTAGAAAGCCTACAATCTTCTGCCAGACCACACAGAATCATCTGTCTAGAAAGCGTTAGCTGTGAGGCTGGGATCGAACATGGGCAGGGCCCTGGGTTTGATCACATACATCCAAGCTCAAAGTTATGAATAAAGGATGATGGCATTATCTTTATTTAAACAAAGACAGGGATGGAGAGGTAGCTCCATCAGTAAAGTATTTTCCATGAAAGCCTGAGACCTAACTTCAATCTCCAGAAAACAAATAAAAAAGCCTGGCAAAGTGGCTCATGCTTATTATAACCAGTGAGAGGGATTGCAAAAACAAAACAGAGCAGTGGACAGATGCACAGAGAGGAAAGATATCTGAAGCTTGCTT